ATTGGAATTTCTCATCTTTGAACTTCATATTGTTTTCTGCAGCCCATTTAAAGATTTGGTTGATGTCTGCCTGGAGTCTTGCAGTGTCTTCAATGGAGGACACTTGTCATGCAAATTCAGGTGTCGTCTGCAAAGGAAGATACTGCACTGTGGCTTATATCCCTGTCTATGTCGAACATGAGGATGAGGAACAAGATGGGGGCGAGTACTGTGCTTTGTGGAACAGAGCTCTTCACCATAGCTGCCTCAGACTTTACTCTGTTGACTACTACAGCTTGTGTTCTATTTATCAGGAAATTATAGATCCATCTACCGACTTTTCCTGTTATTCCTTTATCACGCATTTTGTGCGATATTACACCATGGTCATACTACTTGTCGAAGGCTTCTGCAAAGTCTGTATATGTATTACATCTGCATTCTGTTTGTCTTCTAGAGCATCCAGGACCTTGTTGTAGTGGTCCAGTACTTGGGACAGACAGGAGTGACCTGTTCTCAACCCATGCTGCCCTGGGTTGTGTAACTGATGGGTATCTAGATGAGTGGTGATCTCGCTTCTTAGAACCCTTTCAAAGATTTTTATAATATGGGACGGTGTGTAGTTCTTTGCTATTGCTTTACTGCCCCCTTTGTGGAGTGGGGCTATGTCTGTTGCTTTTAGTAACTTCGGGACGACCCCAGTGTCCATGCTCCCTCTCCACAGGATGTTAAAAGCACGTGATAGGGGCTTCTTCCAGTTCTTGATGAACACAGAGTTCAAGGAATCTGGGCCTGGGGCAGAGTGCACGGGCATGTCATTTATCGACTTTTCAAAGTCATTTGGCATCAGGATAATATCAGACAGGTGTGTGTCTACCAAATTCTGTCTCTCTCTCTCTCTCTCTCTCTCTCTCTCTCTCATAAAAAATTCATTTAGGTCTTCGACTCTCAGTCTGGTTAGTGGCTCGCTAAAAACCGAGTCATATTGGGACTTGAGTAGCTCACTCATTTCCTTGCTGTCTCTGTGTAGGACCCATCCCATTTAAGTAGGGGTCCAATACTGGATGTTGTTCTAGACTTAGATTTCGCATAAGAAAAGAAATACTTTGGGTTTCTTTCAATTTCATATATGACTTTTAGTTCTTTTCGCATTCCTTGACTCCCGTAAGATTCCTCTAGCTTTAGTTTAATGTGTGCTATTTCTCTAACCAGTGTCTCCCTACGTATTGCAGATATACAGTGGACCCTCAGTTAACAATGCCATCGGATGGCGATAAAATCGGATACCGATACATTTTTGCGTCAAAATATTGGCTCGGTTAACGATAAAAAAAATTCACTTAAGAACATTAGTTCAGAATGTGTCCTCGTGGCCTGAGCTGCCCGGCCACTCCAGTGTGGCCAGAGTGCCATTGTTTACATGCCAGTGCAGACGATTACACGCGTACATTCAATACATTTTGTATTATTCCATTTTTTTTAGTGCTTGTAACTTCTAATAAACCCACCATGGGCCCAAAGAAAGCTTCTAGTGCCAACCCTGTGGTAAAAAGGGTGAGAAATACTATTGAATTGAAGAAAGAGATAATCGCAAAGTACAAAAGTGGAGTACGTGCCTCCGAGCTGGCCAGGTTGTATAACAAACCCCAATCAACCATCACTACTATCTTGGCTAACCAAAAGGTAATCAAGGAAGCTGTTGTTGTGAAAGGTGCAAACGTGCTTACAAAACAGAGATCGCAAATACTCGAAGATGTGGAGAGACTATTGTTGGTGTGGATCAACGAGAAACAATTATCATGAGATAGTGTTTCACAGTCAGTTATATGTGAAAAGACAGCTGCATGCAGATCTCATTAATAAAATGCCTCCAACTAGTGCTGATATTGATGAATTTAAGGCCAGCAAAGGCTGGTTTGAGAGATTTAAGAACCGTAGTGGCATACACAGTGTGATAAGGCATGGTGAGGCACCAGTTCTGACAAAAAAGCGGCTGAAAAATATGTGCAGGACTTTCAGGAGTACATAGAGGCTAAAAAATTAAAAGCCCAAGTGATCGTGATAAAACAGGCCTGTTTTGGAAGAAAATGTCAAACAGGATCTACATTACTCAGGAGAAAAAAGCACTCCCAGGACAGCCTATGAAATAGCTTCATCTGCAACAGCAACAGACCACAGCTGAGGAAACTGCTTCAGAGGAGGGGGAAGAGAGATGGAGGAAGTTGCCTTCTTCAACAATTCAGGACATTTATACAATGTGGACAAAGGTGCAAGCCTTTATGGATGAACATCACCCTAACACAGCTGTTGCAAGCTGTGCTGGTGACTTTCATGACAATGTTGTGTCCCATTTTAGGGAAATCTTAAAGACATGCCAGAAACAGTGCTCTCTGGACAGATTTTTGGGGCAACAGGGGTCCAATGACTCTCAAGCTGTTCCTAGTGGCATTAAAAAACATAGAAGGGAGGTAACCCCCGGAAAAGGACTTGCAACCTAAAGTCCTTATGGAAGGGGATTCACCTTCCAAACACTAATACACCTCCATCCTCTCCCCTCCTCCTGTCTCATCACTAAGTGCTCAATGAAGGTAAGTGTCCTTTTATGAATTATTAATGTATTTATTCTGCATGTCTCATTGTTTTCTGTGTAGAAAAATGTTTATTTCATGTGAAAAAATAATTTTTTTTAATACTTTTGGGTGTCTGGAACAGATTAATTGGATTTCCATTATTTCTTATGGGGAAAATTAATTTTTATAACGATAAAATCTGTTAAGGACAAGCTCTCTGGAACGGATTATCGTTAACTGAGGGTCCACTGTACTGGCGTCTTATAGCTGCTCTGTTATTCTTTGCCTTCGTCTATATAGGGAGTGCCTTTCACTTTCTAGTTTACATCATCTCCTTTTCCTTAAGGGAATATGCCTTGAGCATACCTCAAGTGCCACAGAGTTAATTTGTTCTAGACATAAGGTAGGATCCATGTTGCTTAGTCTATCTTCCCAGTTTATATCATTTAGGACTTGGTTAACTGGTCCCACCTTATGTTTTTGTTACTGAAACTGAATTTGGAGAAGGCTCCCTCGTGACTGATCATATTTTGTCGGTCTGGGGCTCCCCGCATACAGTAGTGGCATATTTGAAATTAGTCTGTGATTACTGACTTCTGATGAGCCATCACTTTTGTAGATTGGTGTGAAAATTAAAGACAATACGAGAAGTTTTCTTGAATACTTGGAGAGGGTTTCGGGGGTCAACGCCCCCACGGCCCAGTCTGTGACCAGGCCTTATGGTGGATCAGGGCCTGATCAACCAGGCTGTTACTGTTGGCCACACACAACCTGATGTACAAACCACAGCCAGACTGGTCAGGTACTGACTTCATGTAAGTGGTGGTATATGTGCTTTGTTTCTGGCTTTATTTTTCAACATAATTGGTAAGTTTATTTTGGTACAGGTACACATAAGTACAATTACTATACATAGCAACATATGTGTAAATTACCAAGAACAGTCAAATGACTTATTTCCATTGGGGTAACCATGGTTGTAGTAAAGGATAGGTACAGCAAGGTTGGATGGTTATCAGCGAGGTAATACACAACTTGAGCAGAGGAGTTAAGGATTTTACTGGCTAGAGATGTTCCAATATATGGAATGTAGAACGTCTACATTACTTATAATAATAATCTTTATTTACTACAAGTACAAAGTATGCAGACCATAGATGACATCAATGACATACTACTATACAGAAATAAAGCTGATTGTTATGCTGAGCATTTCGGGCAAATTAGGTCAGTGTCCCAGGATGTGACCCACACCAGTCGACTAACACCCAGGTACCCATTTTACTGATGGGGAACATAGACAACAGGTGTAAAGAAACAAGCCCAATGTTTCTACCCTCGCTGGGAATCGAACCCAGACCCTTGCCGTGTGAAGCGAGAGGTTTAGCCACCAGGCCACCTGTGGAAAATACTGTATGTATTTTCCGGAAATACAGTATTTTATATGTAAATTGATGGCCTATATTGTATTTAATAAAAATTATATTATAAAAAATGGAAAGCTCGGCGCCTGCGCGGACGAGCAGGGAGTCGCCATGTTTTTTGAATGAGCCAAGAAAACGTTAGTGAAAATAAGAAGAATTTTCATCGCTCTAGAGGTTACATTGGGCTTACAACTCTCAAATAGGAGCCGAAATTATTGGAATTGCAGTCCTGCATAACGAGAGAATCAGGCGACTGGACAGGTCTCCGTAATTAGATGAAAACAGGATATTACCCCCAGCTAAGTCATGTCTATATATTTATGTTTATAGTTCTGGTCAGTATTATTTTCATAAATGTAGACAGGGGGGGTTTTTGAGTATGATACACAGTAATCTCCAGACAAATTGGTGAGTGTTATGATTATAAATTTTCCTTGTTATATAAATGTGTATATGTAATAATTTATTAAATTTAATATACAGTCCACAAAAATTATAATAATTTTACCAGAATTCCTGGTGTGTATGTACATTTCATTTGCAATTAATATAGGTCTAGAGCAACTTGTGGAGAGATAGATGGTAGGTATCGAAGGGGGACATTTTTGCGACCTAGGTGTCCTAAAAATTCCTACTTGTCTCTGCAACTTTGATAAATAATAATTATCTTTGTTACCATTTACTTGTATGTATGTAATGAGATTCATCCAGGTAAATGTAATTTTCTACAAATTTAGTTGCCCGTTGGTCAACATTATCATCATTATCACACCACCAGAGCCCCAGAACATATCAACATTCATAACAGAGAACACATTTATCAGCTGTGGAATTTGTTATTTATATACATATTAGCCTAAACACAAGAATAATAATAATAATTACTGCGAGTACCAAGCCTGATCCACTTCCAGTGAGTTTCCCATCATAAATGTACCTCCATTCTATATCCACTTACACAAACTTTTACCTTCAGGCACTGATACTAATTTTCTTAAGTTACTAGCAACATCAAACACCGCCTTACCTGTTGTTTCCCACACAATAAACTAGCGTCTGGCCGCCACCATAGTCTTGTTTACCACAACGTTGCTCCACTAATGCTTCTCGCCCTACAACAACACACAAGATATCCACATGAAAACTTTAGCCAACGTATTTCATTTAGTAATAAGCATAGGCTAATAACACTAATTTTTGTTCTTCTAATTTAATATTAAAATTATTATTCATTTATTTGTAGTCTTCGGAGGATTACTGGCATTTTCCTTTATTAGAAAACCGCTATTAGTCATTTCAATGATGTGGAAAAAGACACTTATGAATTACTTTATAATTTGTGCATGATTGTACCATGTATGACGTGTAGATGATTCATTACATTTGTAACTTGGTCATGATTGTGACCAGATCTACCTGGGGTTCATTACCTTGTAACTTGGTCACCAGGCCCTGTGGCAAAAGCCCTAGCTTCACTGGGTGAGGGTCCGGGTTCGATTTCCGGCGATGGGATGGAAAAATTGGACGTTTCCTTTCACTGGTTGTCCATGTTCACCCAACAGTAAAGTGGGTACCTGGATGTTAGTCAACTGGTGTGGGTCGCATCCTGGGACAAAACTGACCTAATTTGTCCGATGTAATATCCCCAGATTGTAATTTGAGTAAACTTACTGTCTCTTCACGAAATTCAATTTCAATAACAAAAACATACAATGGGATCAAGTAAACCATGTCCTAAATGAAACAAGCTGGAAAGATATCCTAAACAGCACGGATCCGAACATTTGCCTAGAAAAAATTAATTCTGTGGTTCTTGAGATCTGCTGCGAAAATATTAGCTACGTTAACTTACAGATATCTTGGTGTAGATGTACCCTTTAACAAATCCACTTTACCACAACTAAATAAGAAATGCAAAGCTAGGCTAAATGTTCTCAGAGCTGTTGCTGACTACAACCCCAACTATGGTGCTAAAGTGAGAATCGTGAGAATGATGTACATAGCCTATGTTAGGTCCTTTATTTATTTATTTATTTATTTATTTAATAATTTGAACATACAGAGGTACAAAATAATACAGGTAAGAGCAGCATGCCAAAGCCACTTGTATGCATAGCATTACGGGCAGGCTTAAAATTAACTTAAGATATACAATTTACAAGGTTCAGTTATTCAGTATTTATTTGGTTTTGGGTGAGTAAGTGATCTTTGAGAAGAGACTTGAATTTATAAACAGGTAGTGTTTCTTTTATATTTACAGGTAATGAAATCCAGATTTTAGGGCCTTTTATGTGCATTGAGTTTTTGCATAGCGTGAGATGGACACATAAGAACATAAGAACGAAGGAACACTGCAGAAGGCCTACTGGCCCATGCGAGGCAGGTACAAGTCTCCTACCGGCTTAAGCCAATGCACCCAACCTAGTCAGGTCAGGTCACATTGACTTAAGGGAGGAACACGGCAACCGACCTGGTAGCACAAGCTACCAGCCGCTAACCAGACTGAGAGTCGAAGATCAAAATTAATTTTTTATGAGAGAGCCACAAAATTTGATTAACACAAGCCTATCCGATGTTATCCTGACGCCAAATGACTTCGAACAGGCGATAAATGACATGCCCATGCACTCTGCCCCAGGGCCAGACTCATGGAACTCTGTGTTCATCAAGAACTGCAAGAAGCCCCTATCACGAGCCTTTTCCATCCTATGGAGAGGGAGCATGGACACGGGGGTCGTCCCTCAGTTACTAAAAACAACAGACATAGCCCCACTCCACAAAGGGGGCAGTAAAGCAACAGCAAAGAACTACAGACCAATAGCACTAACATCCCATATCATAAAATCTTTGAAAGGGTCCTAAGAAGTAAGATCACCACCCATCTAGAAACCCATCAGTTACACAACCCAGGGCAAACATGGGTTTAGAACAGGTCGCTCCTGTCTGTCTCAACTACTGGATCACTAGACAAGGCCCTAAATGCACTAGAAGACAAAAGAATGCAGATGTAATATATACAGACTTTGCAAAAGCCTTCGACAAGTGTGACCATGGCGTAATAGCGCACAAAATGCGCGCTAAAGGAATAACAGGAAAAGTCGGTCGATGGATCTATAATTTCCTCACTAACAGAACACAGAGAGTAGTCGTCAACAGAGTAAAGTCCGAGGCAGCTACGGTGAAAAGCTCTGTTCCACAAGGCACAGTACTAGCTCCCATCTTGTTCCTCATCCTCATATCCGACATAGACAAGGATGCCAGCCACAGCACCGTGTCTTCCTTTGCAGATGACACCCGAATCTGCATGACAGTGTCTTCCATTGCAGACACTGCAAGGCTCCAGGCGGACATCAACCAAATCTTTCAGTGGGCTGCAGAAAACAATATGAAGTTCAACGATGAGAAATTTCAATTACTCAGATATGGTAAACATGAGGAAATTAAATCTTCATCAGAGTACAAAACAAATTCTGGCCACAAAATAGAGCGAAACACCATCGTCAAAGACCTGGGAGTGATTATGCCGGAGGATCTCACCTTCAAGGACCATAACATTGTATCAATCGCATCTGCTAGAAAAATGACAGGATGGATAATGAGAACCTTCAAAACTAGGGAGGCCAAGCCCATGATGACACTCTTCAGGTCACTTGTTCTATCTAGGCTGGAATATTGCTGCACTCTAACAGCACCTTTCAAGGCAGGTGAAATTGCCGACCTAGAAAATGTACAGAGAACTTTCACGGCGCGCATAACGGAGATAAAACACCTCAATTACTGGGAGCGCTTGAGGTTTCTAAACCTGTATTCCCTGGAACGCAGGAGGGAGAGATACATGATTATATACACCCGGAAAATCCTAGAGGGACTAGTACCGAACTTGCACACGAAAATCACTCACTACGAAAGCAAAAGACTTGGCAGACGATGCACCATCCCCCCAATGAAAAGCAGGGGTGTCACTAGCACGTTAAGAGACCATACAATAAGTGTCAGGGGCCCGAGACTGTTCAACTGCCTCCCAGCACACATAAGGGGGATTACCAACAGACCCCTGGCAGTCTTCAAGCTGGCACTGGACAAGCACCTAAAGTCAGTTCCTGATCAGCCGGGCTGTGGCTCGTACGTTGGTTTGCGTGCAGCCAGCAGCAACAGCCTGGTTGATCAGGCGCTGATCCACCAGGAGGCCTGGTCACAGACCGGGCCGCGGGGGCGTTGACCCCCGAAACTCTCTCCAGGTAAACTCCAGGTAATTGCCCTAGACAACCATTCATTTCCTACTCCCCTTCTAGGCAAGATGCTACATATGATTGGGATCCCTTCCTTAGACTTAATGAAATCTATAGCTGACCTGTACTTATCTAGCAGCTCTTCTCTCCTACCCTTCCCAATATCATTTCCACCAGCACTGAGACAGATAATGGGCTTGTTCCCATTACCTGACATGATATTATCCAGCCTGTTGACAATGTCCCCAACACCAGCTCCAGGAAGCACACTCTATCTCTCATCTTCTTATTCCTATTACAAAAGCACGGTCAATATATCTTACCTGAGAGTCACCAACCACAAGAATGCGCTTACCTCCATTAGCAGGGCAGTAGTACCCTTACCTTCACTGGCCACTGAAGTACATTCATCCTGAAGAACAGAGAAGCGATTTCCTACCTTCAGATCTTCACTCTTAACTTTCCTTACTCTGATGCGCCTCCCATTACTGTGAACCACTCGCCACTTGTAGCAGGTGCTGGACTGCACCTCACTTCTGGTAGCCGTTGCTACCTCCCCAACTACAGCCTCCTCACAGCGAGAGACAGACTGCACCTCACTGCTAGAAGTCTCATTCCCCACAACTCCAGCCACCTCACACTCTCTCCAAGACCCATTGAGGTGGACCTTCAGCCTCCTAATCTCCTCCTGGAGAAGCAAGACCTCCTCCTTCAACTCTCCAACCTCATTTTTTAAAACACTGCAGAAGCAAGCCATGGCTTTGTAACCGTCCACGCTAATCCCCAAAGCAGCTCAGGGTCTGTGACCTCACGTGACGACTGACCACTGACGACTGAGGAACATCAAAGAGTGATTAAGTAAGTAAGTAAGTTTATTCAGGTATACACAAATACAGTTACATAGAATTATCATACATAGCAGCATGTGTGTAGAGAACCTAGGATAACCCAAAAAAGTCAGACAGAGTGACTTATTTCCATTGGGGTCCTTTTACCTTATTATAATATAAAGGTTATAATATTTTCTTATTATTCTACAATGAAGATAACATCTTATTATCATACTAAAAAGACTATCTACTACACCAAGGTCATTAAGACTATCTACAATACGAGGGTCATTACTAGGAATAAGGTAAAATTTACACGTATGTTAGCTAAAAAATAGAAAATCATTCCCCTCCCTTTCTGTAGCTACATTCATCAGACACCTTTTGGCATTCTTCTTGAACTGGTTCATGCCATGACTGGCTTTGACATGTGCGGGCAGTCTGTTCCATTCCTTTATTGCTGTACAATAAAAGGTGTTTGAAGCCTGGCCACTGACTGTGGGTACTACAAAGTTGTGCTCTCTCCCCCTAGTACTATGATTGCTTTGGTTCCCAACCTTGACAAAATTGACAGCAAGATATTCTGGACATTGTTTGTGAGCAATTTTATAAACATGATTTAGCTTCAGTTGTTTTACTCTGTCTTCAACATTCAGCATATCCAACTGCTGTAATTCATCCTGGCCTACATGTTCTCTTGGTCCCAGCCCCAGGATGAATCTTACGATTTTGTTCTGGGTGATTTGCAGTCTATCTTTCAGTTTTTTTGTCAAGGCAGAGTACCAAGAAGAGCATGCGTAATCCATATGGCATTGTATAAGGGCTAGACATAGGGTCCTGCGAGCCTCAGTAGGTAGACTCTGTGCTTGTCTATACAGGAACTTCAGTCTGGCATTCGCTTTCTTTACTACACTGTTCCCTATTTAGCCTAGCTTTACATTTCTTGTTTAGTTGTGGTATAGTGGATTTGTTAAAGGGTACATCTACACCAAGATATCTGTAAGTTTTAACGTAGCTAATGATTTCACCCTGCAAATAGATGGGTGGGGGATGTCGTTTGCTTGTTAATATCTTAGTTTTAGAGGAAGATATTATGAGGCC